GGCAGCCGCATTAGATTCGTCCATGTGTTTGCTTTGAGAGCGCGCCTTGTCTAGCATCGTGAGTTAAGGTCCATGCAAATAGTTTGAGTGCGGTAGTATCCTAGTTCCTGTGCGCTGTGCGAAGGTGGGCGCTTCTTACGATCACTGGTCTCTTGTCCTTGTCCTCTATGTTCTTTTCATTTTTCTTTTTGACGGCGGCAGTTTCCGCCTGACATTGGTGAAAAGGCGCCTTGAAGCACGGCGGACGTGTCACCCGGACCGAAACAGAAGAGAAGTAGCGCAGTCTTGGCAATTATAGGATGCCCGAAATCCAACGTGCATTCTATTCTCGTGATTATTCTCGTGATTTCGTGTGAAACCAACGGCCTTTAGAAATTGCGCTCTACTACTTGTAGCAATGCATGTTTTGGGCAAGTGGGGTTGAGTGGAGTGTCACCTCAGACGACGTGTCGCTTTTGTATATCCGTTTTTACGGACATAAGAACGTGCCGCCCATTCTGGGAAAACAAAACACAGGTTAAAGAAAAAAGAAAGGAATGGATGGGGAATGGGACAGAGAGAAAAGATAGAGGTGGAAATAACAAAAGCGTGACAACAAAGAAGCAAATACGGAGGGACAAGCAAAGAAAAAACAAGGACAGAAACAAAAATAGGAACAAGAAGTAGCACATTCATAAGCAAGAGAGTACGAAACCTGTTTACACCCCCCGAGACAGTTGCCCTATATCGCTTTTCCCTATCAATAGTTTCTAACTCATGTCAGTCTTGCGATCACAACCTCCTTCAGTTGTACCGCTACATCTGACAACATCCACCAGTCGCAAAACAGAACAGGAACCATCGCTATTGCACTCTGCAATAATTGAGCGACATCAAGACCTTTCGGTGCCGAATTCGAATTCGAATCCGGATTCGAACCATCGAATAAAAAAGGATCGCAATAATCACACTAGCTACCATTCTTCATCGAATTCGGAGTCAAACATGGAAAGTCCTCGCTTGTCAGATGGTGAGTCTTCCACTCCGACCTCTATTGAAGAGTCAAACCCAACAATAAATAATTCGAGGCTGGTGAAGAGAAACTACTCAATATCAATTGATCCTTTGCGTAACAACAGCAATAATAATACGGATGATGATCATCCAAACACCATAACTTCTCCCCGACCAAATAGCACTAGTAACAAGGAAATGCAGAAATATAGTTTTCCCGAAGGTAAGGAGTCGAAGAAAATAACAACACCCTCGTTAAACTCGAATAATTGTTTGGATTTGGACAATTCCAGTCTTGTTCACACAGATTCGTATATACAAGACTTAAATGACGATCATATTTTACTAAACAAGCGTGTTTCGAGGCGATCTTCCAGAATATCGGCAGTAACAGCAACTTCCACGACAATTAAGCAAAGAAGAAATACTCAGGATTCAAACCTGCCCAATATTCCATTTCACGCTTCCAAGCATTCTCAAATTCTACCTATGGATGATTCAGATGTAATAAAATTGGCCAATGGAGATACCAGCATGAAACCAAATTCTGCTACTAAAATTAGTCACTCAATGACTTCTTTGCCTCTTCACCCACTTCCACAACCTTCTCAAAAGTCAAAGCAATATCATATGATATCCAAATCAACCACTTCTTTGCCGCCAGAGAATGACCACTACTATCAACACAGTCGTGGCACCAACCATAATCACGCTGCTAATGCTGCTGCTGTTAATAATAATACTACTACTACTACCGCTGCTACGGGTCTGAAAAGATCAGAGTCTGCAACGGCAGAAATTAAGAAGATGAGACAATCTTTGCTGCATAAAAGAGAAATGAAAAGGAAAAGAAAAACATTTTTGGTGGATGACGATCGTGTTTTGATCGGTAATAAAGTCAGTGAAGGCCATGTCAACTTTATTATAGCTTATAACATGCTAACTGGTATTCGTGTCGCAGTGTCACGTTGTTCTGGCATAATGAAACCTTTAACTCCGGCAGACTTTAGATTTACGAAGAAGCTTGCCTTTGATTATCACGGAAATGAATTGACCCCTTCTTCTCAGTATGCATTTAAGTTTAAGGACTACTGTCCCGAAGTCTTTAGGGAACTTCGTGCATTATTCGGCTTAGACCCTGCTGATTATTTGGTTTCGTTAACTTCCAAGTACATTTTGAGTGAGTTGAACTCGCCAGGTAAAAGTGGTTCATTTTTTTATTATTCGAGAGATTACAAATATATTATCAAGACCATACATCATTCTGAGCATATTCATCTGAGAAAGCACATACAAGAATACTATAACCATGTAAGAGACAATCCAAACACTTTGATTTGTCAATTTTATGGTTTGCATAGAGTGAAAATGCCTATATCGTTTCAAAATAAAATTAAGCATCGGAAAATTTACTTCCTAGTCATGAATAACTTATTTCCACCACACTTAGACATTCACATTACTTATGATTTAAAAGGTTCCACATGGGGCCGTTTTACCAATTTGGATAAAGAAAGGTTGGCGAAAGATAGATCATATAGGCCTGTGATGAAAGATTTAAATTGGCTTGAAGAAGGTCAGAAAATTAAATTCGGTCCATTGAAGAAGAAGACTTTTTTGACACAGCTGAAAAAAGATGTGGAATTGCTTGCTAAATTGAATACAATGGACTATTCCTTGTTAATTGGCATTCATGACATCAATAAAGCTAAAGAAGACGACTTACAATTGGCGGATACCGCATCTATTGAGGAGCAACCACAGACTCAAGGACCCATAAGAACCGGTACCGGAACGGTAGTACGACATTTTTTTAGAGAGTTTGAAGGTGGAATTCGAGCATCTGATCAATTCAACAATGATGTGGATTTGATTTATTACGTGGGGATAATCGATTTCTTGACTAATTACTCAGTTATGAAGAAATTAGAAACGTTTTGGAGAAGTCTACGCCATGATACCAAGTTGGTGAGTGCCATACCTCCAAGAGACTACGCCAATAGGTTTTACGAATTCATAGAAGATTCTGTAGATCCTCTGCCCCAGAAAAAAACTCAATCGTCGTATAGAGACGACCCTAACCAGAAAAATTATAAAGACTGAGTAGGTGCACAGGTAAATAACCTATCGTCTATGTACTCAGTCTAATCTACTTTGATTTAATTTAATTCAAGTTATATAAATCTATTCTTTTCCCTTTAATTTTAATATTTTAATTTCAATCCTTTTCTTATTTTCTTTTTTTGCTTTTTCTTTTTTCCCTATTCTCAGGCCACGTCAGGCCTGCATAAGCCACGCTAGCTAATAATTCAGCGAGACCCTATTCCAAACCTAATTGTTCGGAACCATGCTATATCTCTTCCGCAGTGTGTGGCTAAGCGGCTTTAAGAGGATACGAAATGTCAAAAAACGAGAAAATTCGATTATATCTGTACGAACTTTTCTTTGCGCCTACTGCCTGTTTACTTTGCTTTGCCTTCTACTGTTTTTTTTTTGCTCGAGGCCGATGGTGAACTGCAACGTTATATAAACTAAAGTGCCAGAATAAAAATAAAGAAAGGCAAAGGGAGACTATCCGTCTTCGAAACAAGTCAAAAGAGCGAAAACTAATGAGCCAACAACAAGGTTACTACCAACAAGGACCCCCACAGCAAGGTTATTATCAACAAGGTCCACCACAACAAGGTTATTATCAACAAGGTCCACCGCAACAGGGTTATCCTCAGCAGCAACCAGTCTATGTCCAACAAGGTCAACCAAAGGAGGAAAGCTGCTTGGACAGTTGTTTAAAATGTTTGTGTTGTTGTTTCTTATTAGAATTGGTATGCGATAACTGATTCGTTTGTTCAAGAAGTGGTCAATATAAAAAACGAAATCACATAGCCTTTCATCTATGCTGCGAAAGACTATATAATTACTTTTAAGCAAAAATGTATATAATATGATGGGATCGTTACGTTGGAACAAGAATTGACCATCGTTCATCTGTTGTTGAAATAAAATTTGAAGTTATTCGTCTTACTAGTATCCTATCACATGCGGTGTAAGAAATCACATTGTATGAGAAGCAATTATTTAATTTAATGGACCCTGAAGTTCAAGAACTGGTAATGTGACAGGATAATTAATTAACAGCATATAAAATAAAAGAATAGTATTTTTATTATATAGAAATATCGATCACTCTTGTGATTTTCTAAATCCTCGAAGAGAACTTTTAATGTATTCTATATGCCTAATAATAAAGTCGCTATCGAAAATATAATATCTATGCTTATCTATATTGAGAAATGGATGAAATTTGAGATAATTGTTGGGATTCCATTGTTGATAAAGGCTATAATATTAGGTATACAGAATATACTAGAAGTTCTCCTCGAGGATCTAGGAATCCTCAAAATGGAATCTATATTTCTACATACTAATATTACGATTATTCCTCATTCCGTTTTATATGTTTCATTATCCTATTACATTATCAATCCTTGCACTTCAGCTTCCTCTAACTTCGATGACAGCTTCTCATAACTTATGTCATCATCTAACACCGTATATGATAATATATTGATACTATAACTATTAGTTGGTAGACGATAGTGGATTTTTATTCCAACATATTTTCACTCGTTTCTCCGAATGAAAATAAATAACATCTATTGACTATTCCTTTTTGTTGATATATCATCATATGTGGTGAAAGAAGATGACAAAAAAATTGAGAACAAGAAATGCCAAGGTGGATAAAATAATATGATATTAAGCAACAATATATAAAATGAAAGAGGAAATAATATCATCATTACTTAGAAAATACGAATCATCTCTGTGTCCTCTAGGAAAAGTTCAAGTATATCCTATACCTGATACTATGGCCTCTTTAACACTAATATCCCGAGAATTTTCCCAAAATTCAAACAATTCTCAGAAAGAGCTATTTTTTTTTTAATAGAATTATTAGTACTAATTCCAGTATAAATAACAATGTTATTTACGTCTCTTTCGAAAATGCTCGTGTAGCTCAGTGGTTAGAGCTTCGTGCTTATAGCAACATTCGGTTTCCGAAGTTTCTGTGCCAAAGACCTTTCAAACAGGCCTTTAAAAGCAACGCGACCGTCGTGGGTTCAAACCCCACCTCGAGCACTTTCTCTTTTTTTCACACGCATTTGCAACATGCCCGTATTACATGAGCTTATTTGACTTTAGATGGTTTTCAGTTCTTTTTCAATAGATTAATGCGAAGAGTTAAATCACCAATTCAAAGATGGCAGATGGACCACCTTGTGGAATAAGTATAAAAATAACTAAAAGTGGTCTTGTGTTAAAATAGAATAGAAACCACTCATAAGGCAAAAGATGGCTGGAAAAAAGGGACAAAAGAAAAGTGGACAAGGCAACCATGGAAAGAACTCTGATATGGATGTTGAAGATCGTCTCCAGGCCGTTGTCTTGACAGACTCTTATGAAACTAGGTTTATGCCACTGACAGCTGTCAAGCCAAGGTGTTTGCTGCCACTGGCTAACGTACCTCTCATTGAATACACCTTAGAATTTTTGGCTAAGGCTGGCGTACATGAAGTTTTCTTAATTTGCTCTTCTCATGCCAACCAAATTAATGACTATATTGAGAATTCTAAGTGGAACTTGCCTTGGTCTCCATTTAAAATTACCACCATTATGTCTCCAGAAGCTAGATGTACGGGTGATGTTATGAGAGATCTAGATAATAGAGGTATCATTACTGGAGATTTTATTTTAGTCAGTGGTGATGTATTGACTAACATCGATTTCAGCAAAATGCTAGAATTTCACAAAAAAATGCATTTGCAAGATAAAGATCACATCTCGACAATGTGTTTGAGCAAAGCGAGTACCTATCCAAAAACAAGAACTATTGAGCCTGCCGCATTTGTCTTAGACAAATCCACCAGTAGGTGTATTTATTACCAAGATTTACCATTACCAAGCTCTAGAGAGAAGACTTCCATTCAGATTGACCCAGAATTGTTGGATAATGTCGATGAATTTGTCATAAGAAATGACCTCATCGATTGTAGAATTGACATTTGTACATCTCATGTACCTTTGATATTTCAAGAAAATTTTGACTACCAATCATTAAGGACAGACTTTGTTAAAGGTGTCATTTCAAGCGATATATTGGGAAAGCATATATATGCCTATTTGACGGACGAATATGCTGTAAGAGTTGAAAGTTGGCAAACTTACGACACCATTTCTCAAGACTTTTTAGGTAGATGGTGTTATCCCTTGGTCTTAGACTCTAACATACAGGACGATCAAACGTATTCTTATGAATCAAGACATATATACAAGGAAAAAGACGTTGTTTTGGCCCAATCTTGTAAAATTGGTAAGTGCACTGCAATTGGATCAGGAACAAAAATCGGAGAGGGTACGAAAATTGAGAATTCCGTGATTGGAAGGAACTGCCAAATCGGTGAAAATATTAGAATCAAGAACAGTTTCATTTGGGATGACTGTATCATCGGAAATAACAGTATAATTGACCATTCGTTAATTGCCTCTAATGCCACGTTAGGGAGTAATGTACGCCTAAATGATGGCTGTATAATTGGTTTCAACGTTAAAATTGATGATAATATGGATTTAGATAGAAACACAAAAATATCTGCCAGTCCATTAAAAAATGCCGGCTCAAGAATGTATGATAATGAAAGCAATGAGCAGTTTGACCAAGACCTTGATGATCAGACACTAGCCGTTTCTATTGTTGGAGATAAGGGTGTTGGTTATATTTACGAAAGCGAGGTGTCTGACGATGAGGATAGTTCTACAGAAGCCTGCAAAGAAATAAACACTTTGAGTAACCAATTAGATGAGTTATACTTAAGTGACGATTCAATTTCTTCCGCCACTAAAAAGACAAAGAAAAGGAGAACGATGTCTGTCAATAGTATATACACGGATAGAGAAGAAATTGATTCTGAATTTGAGGACGAAGATTTTGAGAAAGAAGGTATTGCCACCGTGGAGCGTGCTATGGAAAACAATCATGATCTTGACACAGCATTATTAGAATTGAACACCTTGAGAATGAGTATGAACGTGACATATCATGAGGTGAGAATAGCAACAATAACTGCATTATTGAGAAGAGTTTACCACTTTATTGCAACTCAAACATTAGGTCCCAAGGACGCTGTGGTGAAGGTTTTTAATCAGTGGGGACTGTTGTTCAAGAGACAAGCCTTTGATGAAGAAGAGTATATTGATTTGATGAACATCATAATGGAAAAAATTGTAGAACAGAGTTTTGACAAACCGGATTTGATTCTATTTAGTGCATTGGTTTCTCTATACGATAATGACATAATTGAGGAGGATGTCATTTATAAATGGTGGGATAATGTTTCTACTGACCCTCGCTATGATGAAGTCAAGAAATTAACTGTAAAGTGGGTTGAGTGGTTACAGAATGCTGACGAAGAATCTTCCTCAGAAGAGGAATAAAAGTCCACGCAGTACCCTGCATAATCATGTATTACCATAAAAAGGCTTTAATATGAGAAAAAGGTGAGCGCTATATAGATTTAGTAATTTACATGTTACAGAAGCAAAAAGCAAATATATATATATTTTTTATCATATTAGTTTTTATCCTCAGTAGTACTACTGAAATAATAATCTCGGATTTTTTTTTTCACTTGCCGAGGGACCTTGTCCTAAGTGGCAAAGAACTGAAAAAAAAAAAAAATTGAAATGCGGTGGTATCACATGAAGAGTAAATAACTTAAGCAAAAGAGAGGCCACTGAGAGAGTACAAGAAAGGGACAATAACAATAGACAGAAGACTTTTATATTTGTAATAACTTAGCGATGTCCCAATTATTCAATAACTCGCGCTCAGATACCCTTTTCCTAGGAGGTGAAAAAATAAGTGGTGATGATATTCGTAATCAGAATGTTTTGGCTACTATGGCTGTGGCTAACGTCGTCAAGTCATCTTTAGGCCCCGTTGGACTGGACAAAATGCTTGTTGATGACATTGGTGATTTTACCGTCACCAACGATGGTGCCACTATTTTGTCTTTGTTAGATGTTCAACATCCAGCTGGAAAAATTTTAGTAGAATTGGCTCAACAACAGGACAGAGAAATTGGTGACGGTACTACTAGTGTTGTTATTATTGCTTCTGAGTTGTTGAAAAGAGCTAATGAGTTAGTCAAAAATAAGATTCATCCAACTACCATCATAACTGGTTTCAGGGTTGCATTAAGAGAGGCTATTCGTTTTATAAATGAAGTTCTTTCCACAAGTGTTGACACTTTAGGGAAAGAGACGTTAATTAATATAGCCAAGACTAGTATGTCCTCTAAGATCATTGGTGCTGACTCTGATTTTTTCAGCAATATGGTTGTAGATGCTCTTTTGGCTGTTAAGACGCAAAATTCCAAAGGAGAAATCAAGTATCCCGTAAAGGCTGTCAATGTGTTGAAAGCTCATGGTAAATCTGCCACTGAATCACTGTTGGTGCCAGGTTATGCTTTGAATTGTACAGTTGCTTCTCAAGCAATGCCTAAACGTATCGCCGGTGGCAATGTGAAAATCGCATGTTTGGATTTGAACTTGCAGAAAGCTCGTATGGCAATGGGTGTTCAAATCAACATTGATGATCCGGAACAATTGGAGCAAATCCGTAAACGTGAAGCTGGTATTGTTTTGGAAAGAGTGAAGAAGATCATTGATGCTGGTGCTCAAGTTGTGTTAACCACCAAAGGTATTGATGATTTATGCTTAAAGGAGTTCGTTGAAGCTAAGATAATGGGTGTAAGACGCTGTAAGAAGGAAGATTTGAGAAGAATTGCACGCGCTACAGGCGCCACTTTGGTTAGTTCTATGTCTAACTTAGAAGGTGAGGAAACTTTCGAAAGCAGTTATTTAGGTCTTTGTGATGAAGTAGTTCAAGCCAAATTTTCTGATGATGAGTGTATCTTAATTAAGGGTACTTCTAAACATTCATCTTCTTCGATCATTTTAAGAGGTGCCAACGATTATTCTTTAGATGAGATGGAACGTTCTTTGCACGATTCTCTTTCTGTTGTCAAAAGAACGCTTGAAAGTGGAAATGTTGTCCCCGGTGGAGGTTGCGTTGAAGCCGCATTGAATATCTATTTGGACAATTTTGCCACCACAGTTGGTTCTCGTGAACAGTTAGCTATTGCTGAGTTTGCAGCTGCATTATTAATCATTCCAAAAACTTTAGCTGTTAACGCTGCCAAGGATTCTAGTGAATTAGTTGCAAAATTAAGGTCCTACCATGCCGCTAGTCAAATGGCCAAGCCAGAGGACGTTAAGAGGAGAAGCTACAGAAATTACGGCCTAGATTTGATTAGAGGTAAAATTGTGGACGAGATTCACGCTGGTGTTCTTGAGCCAACCATAAGCAAAGTCAAATCCTTGAAATCAGCATTGGAGGCTTGTGTAGCAATTCTAAGAATTGATACAATGATTACAGTGGATCCAGAACCACCCAAAGAAGATCCGCACGATCATTGATTCTTTGCGTAATCCGAACGAGATTCTGTATCTGCATGTAAACTAATAAACCTATATAAAATTTAATTATATTTTTTTCAGCTAGTTCTATTTTTGAATTTGATCGCTAACTCTGGGCAGTTGATAAGCGCTTCCCAGCTTTTCACGTGCGAGGTGGACTAATACGTAATAACGCGTACCTATTAGGACTTCGTTGAGTTGTTTTTCTTGCCCAAATGCAGAAGCGGGTCCCTACAAACTATTGTGTTTGTTCGTAAACGAGCAGGAACCCTGTTAAAGGAAAAAAGCTTAACGCTAGCGTTACATTTTAGTAAGGCGGCAATAAAAAAGAATGCGGAGTGTATTCCATGAATTCAATTGCGCTTACTGCTAAGCCTGTTTCTAAACATGATCCCCAGGGTGAATATCTCCCATAGTGGCTGTGTTATTCTGTCTAAATGTGGCAGCTAAATAAGGTTTTTTCCAAGCTATTTTTTTCTCTAAACGAGCGCACCTTAGCGGGATCGCGTCAAATTTTCGCCCAACGAATATTATTCTATTGTCTTCAGTGAATGTGCTTGTCGAAATCTATATATGCGCCGCCCTGGCAGGATCAGCAAATA